GCCGCGACTGTTTTTTCGCTCCGCCGTCACCGTCGTCTCTGCCACCGCCTGACTCCGTGCTTCGCCAGGTTCTTAGCCTCCTGTCTTCTACTGGCCTCCCGCTACAGCCAGGCTCACCACTGCCAACAACAGCCGATGGATGCACAACAGTGCAAGTCGAGAAAATCGTCTGAGCGCACCTGCGAGCGTGCGCACTGCTGCCATCTACGGGTGCAACGCTAGACAGTCGCTTTACTACAACATTGGCACGCCGTCGACCTGCAGTGTTGGCAAGTTGCCTTTCTGTAGTGCTGGCGCGGCTCCTCTACGCAACGCTGGTAGGCGGTTGATCAAGCTGTGCAGGCGGTCGACCATGCTAGCTGTAGAGTTGCTTGGTGGCTGATGTAGTCATTTCTGTCATTGCTTTTTCAATCATTGTGGAATGCAATCTTTGCCTAGTGAAACCCTTGCCGATTTCTCCCGTGAATGTGCAAGCGCTAAAAAACTAAGCAAAGCTATGATCGCTCCTAGTAGTTCGTACCAACCCCCCCGTAGTCTACCTCACTACTTTGTCGAGTGACTTTCTGCATGGAGCGGTGAGCGTGGACGGCCTCGCAGATTACCTTCAGATAGGAGCCAACTTTTGCACCTGCTAAGTCGTTTGTAGGTCGGCAGTCGCATTAGTCGCCATGGTCGATCCCATTGTAGAAGCAAGCGTAGCGGACACCTTGGAGGCACGCTTGGCTGATGCGCGAAAACGCACGGAGGATGGCGAATACGGGAAGATCCCCTGGGCGATCGTCAAGTTTGGCGTCCGAGCGCAGTGGGCGACGGAGCACACGCCTCGTCCTGTATCTCCTCGACCAGTACAAAACGAATGTGGCGTCGACGATGAGGTCGACGGCGGTGCACAAGTCAGCCGCAACGATGGCACAAGGTAGAGAGGGGTGATCAAGGTTGACGGTGGTGTCGACAGGAGTTAGGTGCGAGTGCAGCGCTCGATGGCGGCTGCAGGCAGCTCGCGTGCCGACGTCGATGGTCGATGTCGCTCTCCTCTACGAAGCAGTGGAGAGTTCTTAGCGATGACGCACGTGACGGCAGGGGGGATTTCCCAATGTATGGCTACTTCAAGTTTTTGTCGGACCGGATCATCGTCACACCTCTGCAAGGTCGACGGGACCTCACCACGTGGAGGGAGTCGATAGAACATCAAATGGAGGTTGTCGGGTGAAGGGCTTCGCCGACGGCACTGTGCCCTTTCCGCTCGAAAAAGATGTCGAGTTGCGCGGGGAGTTTTGTGCTGCTTACTTGCTCACCTTCATGGTCATCTCGAGGTGTTGCTCGCCTATGGTGCAGCTAGCGCTCAGTTCCTGTCGAGAGCGACTAGACGCTGGTCATCAAGGATGGCACTTCATTCTGTCGACGCACCAGGTGAAGGACGACCTGTACATCAGACAGGTGGAGGAGAAGTTGACACATATTCGGATGGGCAAGCAGGAGTCGGCGTCGGACTACTACAACCCTGCTCGATAGATCCTGGCTGAGATGCGAATGGCGGGCGCCGAATACTCTACGACGTCCTACATCACCCACGTCTACAAGGGCATACCGCGCAGATACAACCTCATGAAGAGGATGACGATGGTGCCAGACACACGTGAGTCCCTCGACGAGGACTCCCTAACAAGCTACATCATCTAAGATGAGGCAATACAGGAGGTTGAACTGCTCACGGAGCTCCTTCCGCAGGCAAATTACGCTGCACCGACGAAGCTGAATTGTCAGCAGGAGCACCGCGGGAAGCCGTGCGTAAGTGGTAGCGGAGGTGGGCGGTCCACAAAGGACGTCGACAAGAAGAGGTCGACGCGGGACAAGGGCCGTGGAGGTGGTGGTTGACGGCAGGAGTGTAGGATCTGCCACGACCCCGACCATCTCTCCTACGAATGCCCTGGCCGCGACAACAGCGACGATGACGACAACAAGGGAGGCCGCGGTCGATCGGCCAGTCGTCGCCCCTGTCGAGATTCAAAGCCGCGCAATGAGAAGCAGACATCGAAGACGATGTCCTTGACGGAGGACATTGACAACTCTAGTGGCAAGGGCCGAGGCAACGGGGAGGCATCGTGCTTGATGGTCGGCTTGGTAGAGTCGCCAATCTCGCTGGCACCGGAGGCTGGCGAGGACTTCCAAGCGGTGGCGGCAGCTGTGCAAGCCAACCTGATGGCAGTGCTTCTCGAGAGCGGTTGCTCCCACCACCTAATTGGGACGAGGGCGGTCTTTATCGACATGGCGCCGAGCGATGAAGTTAAGCACGTGCGTGGATTCAACGTGGCGCTGCAGCCCGTCGTCGGTCGTAGAACCGTCGCTCTGCAAGGGGAGGTAGGGAAGCGGGTCCTCATCCCCGACGTGCTCTATGTTTCGAGGGTACATGCAAACTTGCTGTCAGCTGCCCAAATGAAGGAAAGCGGAGTACAGCTGCAGGGCGACAGTGACGAGATGCTGCTCGTCGCCGCGACCGGGGAGATGCTTGGTCGAGTGCGCTACACTGGACGAGTCCTCTGCACCGACCTTCGCCCCTGCTCGACGCGGTCGCCAGCGACCAAGGTAGTGGCTCTGCGGACGATCATCTCGGCGACGAAGACGACCCCTGACCATGCGAGGCTCGCATGGGAGGCTCGCACACGTCGGCGTCGACACGATAAGAGCTCAGCGAAGCATGAAGTTGCTATTGGGCTTGACATAAAGCCGTCGACCTGAGCAGACCCGCAGTGCGTCTCGTGCGTCGGAGGAAAGCTGGCGCGGCACACCTTCCCCGACAAAGGCTCGGACGCCGAGGAGGCACATGCTGTCGTGCACATAGACTTGTGCGGGCCGTTTCGGGTTGCTGCCAAGGATAGCGGCTTGTACTTTCTACTGTTGAAGGATCGCCACACTCAGTTCGTGTGGGTGATGCCGGTTGCTAAGAGGAGCGACGTGCTGTGGGAGTTCCAGAAGTGGCTAGTGCTGGTGGAACAGCAGGCAAAGAAGTCGGTGCTGATGCTCCGCTCACACTGAGGAGGGGAGTTTCTTGAGAAGGAGTTCACCGACTTTGTCAACGGTAACGACATCATCCATGAGCTGACGCGCCCCTACACACCGCAGCAGACGGGATGGCTGAGCGGAAGATGCGTACGATCGTCGAGTCCGTGCGAACAATGCTGCTGCACATGGGCGTGCAACACCACTGGTGGCATCTCGCCCTACGACATGCTGTCTGGGTGCGCAACTGCTTGGAGCAGTCGACGCCGCCGTACCAACAGCTGACCGGGAAGAAGCCCGACCTTACATTGGCACGGGTGTGGGACTGCATGGTACAGTTCATGGTTCCTGATCATCAGCGCGGTGGGAAGCTGGCGCTGAAGGCTTATTGGGGGCTTCACCTAGGCGTGTCACCGGGGAGTAAGGGCTGGGAGGTGCTCGACCTGACCGACAACCCTAAGACTTGTGCGGGCCGTTTCGGGTTGCTGCCAAGGATAGCGGCTTGTACTTTCTACTGTTGAAGGATCGCCACACTCAGTTCGTGTGGGTGATGCCGGTTGCTAAGAGGAGCGACGTGCTGTGGGAGTTCCAGAAGTGGCTAGTGCTGGTGGAACAGCAGGCAAAGAAGTCGGTGCTGATGCTCCGCTCACACTGAGGAGGGGAGTTTCTTGAGAAGGAGTTCACCGACTTTGTCAACGGTAACGACATCATCCATGAGCTGACGCGCCCCTACACACCGCAGCAGACGGGATGGCTGAGCGGAAGATGCGTACGATCGTCGAGTCCGTGCGAACAATGCTGCTGCACATGGGCGTGCAACACCACTGGTGGCATCTCGCCCTACGACATGCTGTCTGGGTGCGCAACTGCTTGGAGCAGTCGACGCCGCCGTACCAACAGCTGACCGGGAAGAAGCCCGACCTTACATTGGCACGGGTGTGGGACTGCATGGTACAGTTCATGGTTCCTGATCATCAGCGCGGTGGGAAGCTGGCGCTGAAGGCTTATTGGGGGCTTCACCTAGGCGTGTCACCGGGGAGTAAGGGCTGGGAGGTGCTCGACCTGACCGACAACAAGGTGGTCATGTCGGTTGAGGTGATCTTCTATGAGACACTGTCGCTGGAGGTGTGGAAGCCGAATTTTGGGACGGCGTCAGGGCAGACGCTGGCACACCCGTCGACTGACACCTTGACGTCAACGGTCCCGTTGCTCGCCGAGGTCAACAAGCCTGCTCATGAGGATGTCGTGGAAGTTCTTCCTCCTCCCCCCTATTCTTGCTCCTCCCACCCTCGTCGCAGATCGGCATGCGTCGACACTTGTGTCGGCCACCGGCGATGAGGGGAGCCTTGAGGCGTTGCTTGTGGCGCCAGCCAGTGGCATCGCCAGTGGTGGACAAGGCGCTAAGCTCAGCAACAAGGACGTGAAGCCGTCCACAACAATGGAGCAGCAGACAGAGGAGCCGATCGAACAGGAGGCAGTAGCAGGGGTGCAGTCGACAGGGGTGCAGTCAACAGGGGAGCTGCGGACGGGGCGGTCGACAGGGTTGACGATGCGCAAAACCGGAGGGGAAACAAGAATATTCTTCAACTCCTGAAAAGCCGCCTTAGCTTCCTCCCCTCCCACACATAATCCTTGTCCTTGTGCAGCAGGTCGGTTAGCGGGCCGGTTATCCTCACCATATTCTGGATAAACCGCCTGACGTAATTCACGAACCCCAAGAAACCCTGAAGTTTCGTGATATTAGTCGGGGACTTCCACTTCTAAATAGTATTGATTTTCGCGGGGTCGTCTTTAATGCCGTCGCGTGAGATGACGTGCCCTCAAAACTGCAACTTAATTGAAAAACTTGCAATTGACGAGGCGAGTGATACTCGCGTCATTTTGGGCCTACTCGTGTTTTAAAAGAGGCGAGGCGAGTACTATTTGCTAAGTAAAATCACCAATGGTCCTACTCGTTACTCGCCCAAACAGGCGAGTTACTTTTTTACTCGCTACAGGTAAAAATGACTCGTGGCGAGGCAAGTAATACTCGCCTCCCCTGGATATATGTCAACATTTTAGAATGTTATTGGATTAAACGAACAGCCACCGTTTCTCAAATATCCCATTCTTGCAGCCTACATAATAACTGCATATGACATAAGAAGAATTGAAACGCTAGTTGGTTGCTAGATCTACATAGTTGGCCTCTAGTGTCAGGCTTATATGCTAGTCTGTGTAGGCTGTAGTGGGGTAGTTCATATGGGGTACAACACTTAAGGGTTTCCTACTTGTACTCCTCATCTTGCTCAATGCAATCATTCCTCGTTTCTTATCATGGTATCAGAGCAGGTTCCCTTGTGAGAACGCTTCCTAGGGCCCACCACGATATTTTTTTCTGCTCGGAGCGTGCTTCGCTCCTGCCCGGGTCGCGCTCTGTGTGCCCTCCCTACCGTCGCGCCCTCTCACGGCCCCTTCGCGTCGCCTTTAGCGGCCCCTCTCACGGCCCCTTACGCCGCCCTTACGGCCCCTCGCGCCGCCCTCTACGGCCCCTCGTGCCGCCCTTACGGCCCCTTACGGCCCCTCGCGCCGCCCGTCGGCCCTCCCCCTCGCGCTGCCCTTACGGCCCCTTACGGCCTCTCGCGCTGCCCTTACGGCCCCTTATGGCCCCTCGCACCGCCCATCGGCTCCTTGCGCCGCCCTTAGCGGCCCCTTACAGCCCCTCACACTGCCCTTACGGCCCTCGCGCGGCCCCTTCCGGCCCCTCGCGGCGCCCTTACGGCCCCTTACGGCCCCGTCGCTGCCCCGTCTAGGCCCCTTGCGGCCCCTTTGCGGCCCCGTCTAGGCCCCTTGCGGCCCCTCTGAGCCCCATCTAGGCCCCTTGCGGCCCCTCTGCGGCCCCGTCGCCGCCACCTGCGGCCCCGCCGCTGCCACGTGCGTCCCCGTCGCCGCCACCTGCGGCCCCGTCGCCGTCACCTGTGGCCCCATCGCCCTCCCCTGGAGGCCCCGTCGCCGCCCTTTGCGACCGCCTCGCCGCCCTTAGCGGCCTCGTCACCTCCCCCAGCAGCCACGTCGCCGCCTCTACCGGCCCCGTCACCGCTCAACTGCCCAGCGACCGAGCCGCCGAGCCGCCCACCAGCCGAGCCGCCGAGCTGCCCAGCAGCCGAGCCACCCAGCAGCCGAGCCGCCCAGCAGCCGAGCCGCCGAGCAGCCGAGCCGCCGAGCCGCCGAACCGCCCCGCAGCCGAGCCGCCTAGTAGCCGAGCCGCCGAGCCGCCCTACTGTCGAGCCACTACTGTTCCTACCGGTGCGCCCCGGCCCTACTTACTCAGACTGGTGAGATCACTCCCTAGTAGGCCATTGCAGTCATGGCTACCCCCAGTGTCCTTACCTTTGATGCTGAGGGCCGTGCCATTGACATTGAGGTCTAGGTCGATGACCTCCAACTGTTTCTCCAGTGCGATAGGGCAGACGGACTCTCTCTGTTCGATCTCACCTCTGGTGTCTCTCCCGCCCCACCTGCTACTGCTGACAGCACTGTTCGCTCACAGTGGGCCACAGGCAATGCTGCTGCTCACCTTGCTCTGTGTCGCCACTTACAGACCGCTGAGCGTGCGCACTTTAGCCAGTACAAGAGTGCTAAGACCTTGTACGACGCTGTAGTTGCACGCTACTCCTCCCCTGCCACTGCTGCTCTTAGACGCCTCATGCTACCGTACCTGTTCCCTGACCTTGCTGCCTTTCCCACAGTCGCTAACCTCATTACTCACCTTCGCACTAGTGACATTCGCTACCGCGCTGCGCTTCTTGCTGAGTTCTGTGCCAAGAACCCCCCCCCCCCCCCCCCATGTACATCACCCTCTACTACATAGTCACCCGCCTCCCTGACTCCCTTCGCTTAGTCAGGGACCACTTCCTCTCAGTTTGCCCCACCACTCTCACCGTCGACCTCCTCGAGGAGTGCCTCCTAGCAGCAGAGAAGAGCATAGTCGCTGTAGGAGCCTCTCGTGGTGACCCTCGCACCCTCATCTTTGAGGGGTGTTCCCCCTCCCCCCTCTTGCCCTCTCTTGCTTCTACTGCTGCGGCCGACCTCGTTCCTTTCGAATCGGTCAGCGCTGCGTCTGCCCCGAGCGGGAGACGCTGCACCGGCAAGGGCAAGGGGGGCAAGGGCGCTGGAGGGGCTGGCGGGGGCGGTGGAGGTGGTGGTGGAGACAGTGGAGGGGGTGGGGGTGGTGGTGGGAGTGGTGGTGGGGGTGGAGGTGTCGGTGTCAGCAGTGGAGGCGGAGGAGGCGTCCGCGGTGGCGGAGGGAGCGGAGGCGGCGGAGGTGGTGGAGGCGGAGGAGGTAGCGGAGGCGGCGGCGGCAGCAGTGGACCTGGTCGCAGCTCTGCGCAGAGGAGTGGCTCCGGTGGTGGTCCGCGCCAGCAGCAGCAGCGCAGTCGTGACACCCTATCCCCTCAGCAGCTTCGTGAGTGGTACGCTGCACGTCAGCGCGGTGGGGGTACGGGTCCCTGCACCTACGTTCTCCGTACCGGCGACCGCGCTGGTGAGCAGTGCGGGGGCCCGCACTCCACCCAGCTCTGCTGCGGCCGCCTAACGGACTCGTGGCGTCACCAGTGATAGAATACAAGCTTAAGAGGTAGTTGAGATTCAAGGCGGCCTAGGCTTAGTAGCCTAGGCCAAGTGGAAGGCGTGAAGTTTGTGCCAAGTTGAGAGTGTCGAGAGAATTGGAAAGGTGAATGTTCGCTATAGTGCTAGGGTACATATTGTAAACAGAGCATGCGAAGAAAGTGCACCACCAACAGTTTATAATAACTACACTAAACTACAGCTACAGGCAGTTACATATAAATTCTGACACTCCCCCATAACTGCCTGCAGCACAAGTTTGTGCACAACACAACCTGCAGGGGTACACAAGCAACAGCAACAGCAGGTACGGTAACAGAGCAGGTACAACAGCAAAACATTTCTGCCACCCCCTTACTCTCTTCCCCCCCCAACCACAGGAGGGGCAGCAGGGAGAGTGAGGAGGCGGGCTGGCTCTGGCTGGTCACCCCCTCCATCTCCTCACCCTCCCCCTCCCCCTCCCCCCCACACTGCTGCAGGAGCAGCAGAGGGGGGAAGAGAGGAGAGGTGGAGGGACGGCTGCTGTTTGGTCTCACACCCGCCACCCCAGTGCCACTCCCCCGGCTCCCCCACACCCTCACACCCTCCGCCCCAGCGGCAGCTGCAGCACTGGGAAAGAAAGGAGGAGGAGGAGGGGAAGGGAAGCACACTACCCATCACTCCAACACCCGCCACCCCCATACCCTCCCCCCCACGGCTACAAGGAGACGAAGGAGGAGGGGGTGGGCGGGGAGAAAGCCGCAGAGCGGCTACAGAGGGTCGGCGCAGGTAGGTCAGGGGCGGCTGCAAGGAGTGCAGGCGCGGGGTGAGGCAGAGGCACCGCCGAGTGCGCCAGGGGCGGGTACTTGGCGGTTCAGGACACCGTCGCAGGCACCAGGGGCGGTTCCGCGGCGGCTCAAGGGCACCGTCGCGCATGCTGATCGTCGTGCGCCCCGTGGCATGTAACTACAGCTACAGGCAGTTACATAAAAATTCTGACAACCAGTTCCCTAAGGCCTCTGAGATCCCTCGCTGGGGAGAGCTGTCTAGGGCGGGGGTTGCTATCTTTGATCTTGATTTTGATGCTATTCTTGCTGCCATGTATGCTGTGTCGGATAGTGTTGAGGATGAATGTTACCTGTGTGTTCCGCCTGACCCGTGCATTGAGACTGCTACTCAAGGTGGTGGTGTCTCCCTGGCGGACCCCTCTGGGGGCCCTGTCCTTGCTCGCTTCTCCACTGTCTTACCGTGTCCGGCAGCACCCTCTGGCACCCTGTCAGGTGTCTACCTCCCCTCGTTCTCTACGAACTTGGTGAGTGGAGCTGATCTACAGGATAGGGGGGTTGACTAGTTTGCTCCTGCGAGTCAGCGGGTGACCCACTGTACGTGTGCTCGGACAGGCCGACACTTGGCCGTTTCAACCGTCTGCTAGGGTCGAGCCTGTACACCCTCACTACTGAGTCTCCTCCGGCTGCTGAGTCTGCCCAGGTAGCTCCGTCGAATCAGGTCTTTGCTTCAGCGTCCAGGTCTAGTCCTGAGTCCGCTCCCTGCTCGTGTCGTCTCTGTCACATATAGCTTATACATTTGTGTAGGCTGTAGTGGGGTAGCCCATAAGGGGTACAACCCTATTGGGGTTAGTACTTGTACCCACCTGTTTCATAGTTCATTCATTCTCGTTCTAATTTTCACAGTCTCGTGTCTTAGAAGACTCTCCTTTGGCACCATCGAATTGGTCACCCCTCCTTGCCTCTTCTCCGAGGTATGGCCTCCTGTGTCCTTGTCTCTGGTCTCCCCCGGTCTCTCCCTCCCCTACCTCCGGGGCCTGCCCCTACCTGTGTCCCATGCGTCGAGGGGCGACAGCGCGCCGCCCCTCACTCCTCCGAGTTTCCTCCGACAAAGGCTTGGTTGCAGACTCTTCACATGGATGTGTGGGGCCCCGCCCGCGTCCGTGGCCAGGGGCACGAGCGTTACGTCCTGTTGGTGGTTTATTACTACTTGCGTTACACCTCGGTCTTTCCCTTGCACAGCAAGGGCGACGTCACTGAGGTGTTGATCGACTGGATCCGCGCAACTCGTCTCCAACTCAAAGAGAGTTTCGGCTCAGACTTTCCTGTTCTCGTCTACACTCTGGCAGAGGCGAGGAGTTTTTCCCTGCCCTCCTGTGAGCCTTCTGTCGAGCACAGGGCATCCGCCAAACCTTCACACTTCCGGCCTCTCCACAGCAAAATGGGATTGCTGAGCGCCGCATTGGCATGGTCATGGACGTCGCTCGTACATCCATGATCCATGCGGCTGCCCCCCATTTTCTGTGGCCGTTTGCGGTTCAGTACGTGGCGCATCAGGTCAACCTTCAGCCCCGGGTCTCCTTACCAGAGACCTCCTCCACCCTGCGGTGGACGGGGAAGGTTGGCGATGCGTCTGCGTTTTGGGTCTGGGGATCTCGGGCGTTTGTCCGCGACTTGTCTGCGGACAAGCTGTCCCCCCGTGCTATTCCCTGCGTCTTCCTTGGCTTCCCCCTTGACGCGCCTGGTTGGCAGTTTTACCACCCCACCTCGCGCCGTGTTCTGTCCTCCCAGGACGTCACCTTTGACGAGTCGGTGCCTTACTACCGTCTAGTCACCTACCGCGCTGCGCCCCTTCCCACACCGCCGCTCTTCCTTGTGCCAGGTCCTCCACCGGTATACCCCCTCCCCCCTCAGGGTCCTGCCCTGTCAGGTGTGTCCTAGGTAGACACAGTCGAGCCTGTCGAGGAAGCTGTTGACTCTGGTGCTGCTAGAGGTGCTGAGCCTGCGGGTGCCGGGTCTTGAGGTACTCAGCATGGGGGTGCTGAGCCTGGGGGTGCTGAACTTGGGGGTGCTGAGCTTGGGGGTGCTGAGCCTGGGGGTGCTGAGCGTGGAGGTGCTGAGCCTGGGGGTGCTAAGTCTGGGGGTGCGGAGCCTGGGGGTGCTGGGTCTGCTCGTGTGGCCTCTCGCGGTGCTTCGTTGAGGCGGGAGCCACTCTCTAGCAGAAGCTACGGGAGTGGTATGCCCGCCGCTGTAGCCGTGCTGCTGGAGCTGGACTTTCTACTGTTGCCGCTGGTCCTGGAGGTGCTCGTAGTGGCGGTACTGGAGCTGCTGGGACAAGGGGTGCTGCTGGAGTGAGTACTGCTGGTTGTACTGCTGGAGCTACTGGCGGTCCTGGAGCTGACGGTCCTACTGGAGATGGTGCTGCTAGAGCTGGAGCTGCTAGAGCTGCTGGAGCTGGAGCTGCTGGGGGTGTTGGGGCTGGTGGTGCTACTAGTGCTGGTGCTTTTGAGGGTGCTGGAGTTGGCTCTGTTGGAGATGGAGGTGCTGCTAGTGCTGGTACTGCTGCTGGGGTTACTGGTGCTGTCCCTGCTGGTTCTGGAGGCGTTGCGCGGCCGAGGCCGTACTTCGTTCCCCTTCTTGGGTAGGTTCTTGGTCTCCCGCCCTCTACTGGTGCTGCTCCTCCCTTAGAGTGTCCACAGCCTGTCCAGTAGGAGTCACAGTTACAGCCTGCCTCCCCCCTGCCTGCTCCTTCTCCCTACACTGGTCCTACTAGAGGTCTTGGTCAGCGTCGTGAGCCTGCGTCTCGTCCTGCGTCGCTTGTTCGTTCTGCTCGCACTAATAGTCGTGCTCCGCGTCCGCGTCTTCCTGCGGTCCCAGGCACACACCAGATGGCAGTGCGTCCTTCCATTGCTCCTCTGCGTGTACCGTTGGCGTCTCCTCAAGAGTCCTCTCTTCCTGTTCTTGCTGACCCGGAGACGGACTCTCTTCGTGCTGCCAGTCCTACTGTCACGCGTCTCTTGCTACGGTTGTCACTGACCCTTCCTTTGAGTCCACCGCTGCGTCTGCCCTAGTTGCTGAGCTTGTCGACTTTGCTGCTCGCTGTCGTCTAGACTACGCTACTAGTCTTGTTGCTGAGTCTGAGTCTGTCTGTCCTCCGTCCTTCGGGGGTGAGTGTGCTCTTAGCACGGACATCCTTGAGGACAGGCAGGAGGAGTTCCAATGTTTTGCTGCTGCTGTGCCTCATCTCGTGTCCATGTTGATTGCCCCTGAGGGAGACCCGGATGCACCAGACATCCCGACTCCTCGATCATACGCTGAGGCGATCGAGGGTCCCTACTCCTCACAGTGGCAGTCAGCCATCGACGCAGAGATGGCTTCTTGGAAGTCCACAGGCACCTACATTGACGAGGTTCCCCTACCTGGGGCGAACATCGTCAGTGGCATGTGGATTTTCAGGGTGAAGCGGCCGCCGGGTTCTCCGCCTGTCTTCAAGGCGCGTTCTGTGGCTCGAGGCTTCAATCAGCGGCAGGGAGTTGACTACTTTCAGACCTTCTCTCACACCCCGAAGATGACCACTCTTTGGGTGCTGCTGCACATAGCCGCTCAGCGTGACTACGAGCTTCACTCTCTTGAGTTAAGCACAGCTTTCCTGCAGGGCAGCCTGCACGAGATCTGGCTGCGCCGTCCACCTTGCTTCACTGGGTCGTTTCCTCCTGGTACCCAGTGGAGCCTCCGGCGGCCGGTCTACGGTCTCCGCAAGGCGCCAGGTGAGTGGCATGACACACTGAGGACTACACTTGCGGCTCTTGGGTTTGCTCCTTCTACTACCGACCCGTCGCTGTTTCTGCGCACTAACACCTCTTTGTCGCCGTTCTACATCCTCGTGTATGTCGACGACTCGGTCTTTGCCACTGCTTACACTGCTGGACTCGCCCACGTGAAGTCCGAGCTGCAGAAGAGACACACGTGCAGAGACCTGGGTAAACTGCGCAGCTACCTTGGCTTGCAGATCACCCGGGACAGAGCACAGTGCACCATTACCCTGACTCAGTCACACATGGTGCTGCAGGTCCTTCAGCGCTTCGACTTCACGTAGTCCTCGCCTCAGACCACTCCTCTGTATAGTCGTCACTCGCTCTCAGGTTTGCCTTCGGATGAGTCCGTAGAGCCGAGTGGCCCGTACCCAGAGCTTGTTGGCTGCCTCATGTACCTGATGACCTGCACACGACTTGACCTTGCATACCCTCTTAGCATCTTGGCATGCTATGTTGCTCCTGGGAGACACCATCCAGAGCACATGGCTGCAGTGAAGAGGGTGTTGCGCTACTTGTGCAGTACGTTGGGCATGAGGCTAGTGCTTGGAGGGCGACGTCGAGTGGTCCTCACAGGTCACGCTGGCGCTTCTTGGGCTGACCACCAGCCTACATAGCGGTCGTCACAGGGTTACACCTTGAGCCTTGGCTCTGGCTCTGTTTCGTGGCGGTCTACCCGCTCGTCTTCTGTTCTCAGCTCCGGCTGTGAGGCTGAGATCTACGCGGGGGCCATGGCTGCACAGGAGCTACGCTGGCTCACCTACCTGCTGACTGACCTAGGAGAGCCGCCTCGTTCTCCTCCAGTTCTGTACGTAGACAACAAGGCCATGGTGTCCTTGTGTCGGGAGCACAGACTGGAGCACAGAACGAAACAAATTGCTCTTCGCTGCTTCCTGGCTCGTGAGCTGCAGTAGCGTGGTTAGCTACGCCTTACCTACGTGGCCTCTGAGGCCAACACTTTTAATGTCTTTACCAAGGCACTTCCGCCCTGTGATCATCAGCGCTTCTGTATTATGCTAGGTCTTGTGCCTACTTGGCCTCACTTGCTCACTTCTTGACCTTGCTTGTACGGTGATCTTTCTATACCTGCACTTGCTTGTTTCCCTTTATATATATGATCTTGCATGTGAACTGGCTGTCAGAACATTATAGCTTACTTGCTTGTGTAGGCTATAGTGGGGTATTCCATAGGGGGTACAACCCAATTAGGGTTTCCTATTTGTACTTACTTCGTTCATAGTTCACATTCATTCTCGTTCTATTCTTCTCATGGTATCGAGCAGGTTCCCCTGTGGGAACTGTGCTTAGGGCCCACCACTACTTCGACTCTTTTTTTCTGCACGGAGCGCGCTCCGGGCTCTCTCTTTCACGCCCACGCGCCGCCCGTTCCGGCCCTTAGCCGCCCGTGCACCGCCCTTTGCAGCCCGCGCGCCGCCCTTAGCAGCCCGCGCGCCGCCCTTCGAGCCCGCACGCCGCCCTAGAGCCAGCGCGCCGCCCTACGCAGCCCACGCGCCGCCCTACGCAGCCTGCGCGCCGCCCTAGAGCCCGCGCGCCGCCCTACACAGCCCGCGCGCCGCTCGCCAGGCCCCAGGCCGCCCGCGCGCCATCCGCGCGCCGCCCTTAGCCGCCCGCGTGCTGCCTGCCAGGCCCCAGGCCGCCCGCGAGCCGCCCGTGCGCCGCCCTCAGCTGCCCTTGAGCCACCCGTGCGCCGCCCGTCAGCCGCCTTCAGCCGCCCGTGAGCTGCCCGTGAGCCG